GCCACTGAAGCTTGGTGAGTTTGGTTTAGTACCTAGAATCCATGTAAAGGTTGAAGAAGAGAACTGATTCCACAAGCGGTCCTCTGGCCCCTACACACACACACACACACACACACACACACACACACACACACACACACACTGCAGCATGCACAATAATAATACATTTTAATGAATGATAAGCTGAAGTATTGGATAGACAGATAGTCCTCCTTTTCTTAGATTTGTCCTACTGATATGGCTAGATGGAAAATTTTCAACTTTTTACTCAGAGAATGTTACAAGGGTGACTCTTTCTGCAGATGACTTCATGAACGTGAGAATGCTCTTGTTGACTTGTGTGTTGTCCACTTGTAACGCTTCACAGTGCGTGAGTGTTGACTTGAGTGACAATGTCCTTCCCATTCCTCGGGAAACATGCGCTGATCACAATGCTTATATTTTATTTAGAGCTGGCATCTGTGTTCAGGAGTGAGAGTGGCTGGCAGCTCCCCTCTCCCTTTGCACTTGTCAGTGTTTGTTATCGGGTTAGTCTGCTCTTACATAGTGTTTTGGGGACTGGGGGACTGCATCTTGCATTTTACATTTTGGAAGGTTTTTTTTTTTTTTTAAGCCTATAATAATTTCATCCTTAAACATTTGGCAAACTCATCAGTGAAATTCTCCGGGGAGATCTAGTATAAGATTCTAGACATTCTGTACATGCATATGCAGGATGTATGGTGAGCATATTCGCACATGCCCATGCCCCTCTCACCCTCTCTAACTTTCGCTCTTGCTGACTCTTTCCCTCTTGGGAGAAGGATTTTAACTGCCAAACCAGCTTTGAATGGTAAACTAATTTGCCTAGGAGTATCTCCACCTCGAGGTTTTAGACGTCTTGACACAACACCTCCTTTTCATGTTAATGCTAATAGAATCTATAGCAACTACTCCCCATGGCCAATATTCATTGATGTTCTTTCTTCTTTTCCTACCAGGGCCTTATCTATTTTATCTCCTGTTCAGAGGATCAGCTTTTGGCTTTGCCAATCGTCTTATGTGCTTGTTTTCTTGTTGAAGTTCTGCTTTCACCACTTTTATGACCTCTTCCCAGTTTATCTTGGTTTAGCTCTCTGTCCTGATAGTAGATGCTTTAAGCCATCGACTTGTAAATTAGGCTCTCTACTTTCCTAACATATTCATTAAGCTACTGTGTGCACTACAACCCAGACGTTTTGACTTGTTCTAGGATCATCGTTTACTTTTTTTTTTTTATTGTTGTTGTTGTTTTGAGACAGGGTTTTTCTGTGGCATGCACCACCACCACCCGGCCTGTTACTTTTTTCTTCTTACTTTAAGATTCTTTGGTCCTATATCTCTCAATTTCCCAAAGTCTGGGAAATTCTATAGTTTTATTAACATATAGTATAATTTCATTGGGTT